GTCTGTGGAGAAGAAAATTATTTAAATAAAAGTTACTAACAATATTATTATCTATAATTTTTGTTTAAAACAAATTTTCCTAAAATGGTCTGTATTCGAGAAATTTGACAAAATGTAAAAAAAATTAATTTTTTATAAAAATTATTTAAATAAAAGTTGTTTGTAATATAATTTTTTATAATTTTTATTTTTTACATAATTTCTCTAAAATGGACCGTGTTCGAGATATTAAATTTTAAACTTAAGTTTTATTTCGGCCTGACGTGAAATGATTAGATTTTGGACAAAGTCGGAACATCTGCGGGTACTTTATAGAAGGTCGTTTTTATATTTTATCTGTTACTTATGTTTGGAGAAGAAAATTGTTTAATTAAAAGTTACTTCTATTATTATCTCTAATTCTTTCTTATTGCCAAATTTTCCCGAAATGGTCCGTATTCGAGAAATTTGACAAAATGTACAATATTATAATTTTTAAGAAAATTGTTAAACTAAAAGCTGTTTGCGATATCGATCTCTATAATTTTTTTACATGATTTTTCTAAAATGGACCGTAATAGAAAAATTAGAGGAAAAGTGCTAAATTTAAATTTTTCAGTATTTTCGTTTTCAATGAATATAGAAAAATGTTTCGAGTTAGGTGTATGTGGAAAATGTATATATTTAGTTTATCATCTAAACATTTATAGAAGTGCTGCAATAGGTTGTACAAAATAAACGAAAAAAGCCTGTAATAACTAGATAGGAAAGTCATGTGTTGGACACATCAGATTTTTTTTTATTTATGTGCATTTGTCTACATTTTATCTTTCTTGATACCGAAATGGAATGTCCTATTTGATTCGTAAAGGTACTAAAATGTTAAAAAGTTACACAAAAAAGATTTAAAAGTTTGCTAAAAATAGTTAAAAATAACAAATTTTCAGATAGGACCTTTTTTGCTAGGACGGCAGTATATGACTTCTCTGTTTTTGTATTTTTATAGGAGTACGGTTGTAGAGAGCGGAATATATGCAAAATGCATATATATGCATTTTTTGTATATTTTACCAAAGTTCAGAAAATATTGCATATTTTTCCAATATTCAGAAAATATTGCATATTTTACCAAAGTTCAGAAAATTTAAGAAAATATTGCATATTTTCGAAAAAAAAAATGTATTACTATACTGTGCAAATCAAAAACTGTTTTAACAGATTATACAGATATATTTGAAATAAAGACCTTTTAAATTTTTGTATTTGTCACTTCTTGTAAATTCTTGTTAATTAGTTCTTGGAGGGTGGTATGCACTGGGTTTTTACCTTCTTAAGAGATTAAGCCCATTAAGGTAATTGTTAATAGATGGTATTTACACAGATAGTATCCTCGTTATTTGCCTAGTGAAAGGTCTTGTAATAATTTGTTGTTTTAAAAGTGTCCTAAAATGTCGAGACTTTCTTCGTGGATTATTAACTTTCCAGAGTTGGAAATCAATGGGGATAAAGTTTTTTGTAAAGCTTGTGCCAAAATAGTGGTTTGCGAAACAAAGTTCAAAGTGGTTCAACACGTGAAAACATCATTGCATAAAGCCAAATTACAAAAAATGAAATCACAACTGGTTCAACAATGCGTTGTGAGGTCATTTTAAAACGCCGACAAAACAAAAAGTGACAAGGAGGTATTTAATCAGGACTTGTGCAAAGCTCTTGTTGCGGCAAATATTCCATTAAAGAAGTTACAAAACCTACATCTAAGAGAATTCTTACAAAAATATTGCAATCAAACCATTCCTGACGAATCTACACTCAGAAAAAAATGTACATGCTATATATATAAATGTAATAGAAAAAATTAAAATTTTACTGGATGATAGCAATTTTACATCATTGTTGATGAAAGCACAGATGCTTGTGGAAGATATATGGTACATCTTATGATTGGAGCCTTAAAAGAAAATGAACCAGGTACATCATATTTAATTGCATCAAAACAGAAAAAACTAACAATACAACTGTTACCCGATTTATTCAACAATCTCTAGCAGAATTTTTATTACCAAATCAAATTCCCTCAGAGAAGTTCTTAGTGTTTTTGTCTGACGCAGCACCATATATGATAAAAGTAGGGAAAAACTTAAAAATATTTTATCCAAATATGGTCCACGTTACTTGTCTTCTGCATGGAATAAACTTAGTTGCAGAAACTGTGAGAACAGAATATCCCTTGGTTAACAAGCTAATTTCGAATGTGAAAAAAATATTTTTAAAAGCCCCTTTAAGAGTGCAGTTGTATAAAGAGAGAATGGTAGGGGTGTGTTTGCCCCCAGAAGCCGTAATTACGCGATGGGGGACATGGATTAAAGCAGCTATATTCTATGCAGAACATTTTGAAGCAATTAAGGATTTAATTTTGGATATAGAAGACAATTCACAATGTGTAGTGCAAAGTAAAGAATTGTTAAAAAATCCCCTTGTGCCTAAGCAACTTGTATTTATAAAGGTTAATTTTAGTTTTTACCTGATGTAATAACTTCATTGGAAAAGAAAAATTTAAGTTTAATCGAATCAACAAATTTTATTGCAACAGTTTCCGATAAATGTAACAATGTTCCTGGTGACATAGGCCTTAAGATTAGAAAAAAATTAAATACAACTTTATTAAAGAATGAAGGGTTCAATGAAATAAGGGAAATGAAAAACATTTTTGAGGGAAAATTTTCCAAAGAAGTTTTACGTTGGCCCTGTACATTACTTCCAAAATTACGGTATTGTCCTATTACTTCGGTAGATGTTGAAAGAATATAGAAAACTATATCAAAACATTTTTACAGACAGAAGACAAAAATTTTTAATAGAAAATTTCGAAAAATATTTAATTATAAATTCCTATTATAATATTACTATATATTGTTTCGTTTGTTTTAAATAAATTTTTATATTACATATTTTCTTTTGTTTTTTTTTCGTGTAATGGCTTTGATAGCGTACCAAATTAGGAACAGCAATGTTAATTAGAACCCAACAGTGAATGGTCAAATGGAAATATTCGCTAGGCATCAGAATTAATTTTTAAATAAATTAATTAATTTAAAAAATCGCGTCCCGGCTGGAATTTCAACCCGGGAGCCCTAAGTCCACAGGCCAACGCACTAACCACTGAGCTACCCACCCCCTACTTTTTTTTTTAAGTATTTTTAACAAATATGCATTTGCATATTTAGGCATAATTGGACAAAATAACTGCATATTTTTGGTAAAAACGATGCATATATATGCGCATATTTTGTTATATTTTGATGCATATATTCCGCCCTCTAGTTATGAGTATCGGTCAAAGGTATCGATACCGATATCATGTGAGATACTTTGTCGTAAAGGCGTCGATGCTGTTCGATATTATGTTTAAGATATCGATATTTATAAGTATCGAGTAACAAAGTATCGAACAAATAAATGATTTTTTTTTAAACGACACACAATCGACAACCCCCATTCAACAGGGCAAAGTGGGGAATTTATCTAAAGAGTTAGATCAGTAAAGTATATTCTGTATTTTAAAATTATTAATGACACCCTTTTTTCTCTACTGGTATGATTATTTTTCAGCTTTCCCATTAAAACATTACCAAATACGGTGTTTATAGCGTCTGGTTGACCGTTTCTGCCTACAATACGTCCATCTAAGATAATTTGTGAAAAAATATCAGCTCCTAATAAAACATCGATAGAATTAGGGACGATAAATGTTGGATCAGCTAACTGTAAATTATTAATAGACTCCAGTTACTGATGTCTGTATGAGTACACGGCAAATTCGAACTAATCGTAGGCAATATTCAGTGGCGTGCGGTGACATTTTTGGAAGGGGAAGCGATTGTACAAAAATACAGCAGGCCAGTAAGCACAGCGCCGTCAAAATTTTGGTTTTTTTCCTCAGTACTACGGATATTCGAGATGAGATTTTTCAAGTGTTACTATTACTTTATTACCTAGTTTAGTACTAGAAGCTATAAAAAACTTACCATTGAAAAGCTTCCTTGGTTTATTTAAACGTAAAAAAACATTTAACTGAAGTTTTATTTTATTTTTTCCAGCATTTTTCGCACAGTTGACACAGCAGTTGACATTTATTTATACTTAAGATCTATTCGTCTATCCTCAATGGCTGCAAATTTGTCTATAACATCGTCGTAAAATTTTGGAATTTCTGATAACTGTTTAACAAGCTGTTTTTCAATGGATATTAGGGCTAAATTAGAGAGTCTGTCTTCACTTGTTGAATTTCGTATAAAACTTTTAATGCGCTTTAAAGCTGAAAAACTTCGCTCAACTGACACACTTGTGGCTGGGATGGTTAGTACTAACTCAAACAACTTGACGACTTCACAAACTGACTTATTTAAACCAGTTGTTATTATAAGAAAATTTAACATATTGATGGGTGTATTTTTATCAATCATTTTAGTTGTTTCATAACCAACACTTAACTGGGACTTTAATGCTGGAATATCGAAAAAATTTCCATAATTTAGTTTTAGTGAATTGAAAGCTTCCGATTGAAATTTTGATGAATCGTAGTTACTAATGTTAATATTGCACAATTCAACAAATTTTAATTCGTTGAAGTTTTGAAATCGAGAGTTCATTTGTTGTAAAATATTATCAAAAATGTCAGCGTATAATTGACGATAGGAGGTCTCTCTGTCGCCGACATTATCAATTCTAATTCTCTTTCTTTCAGGTTCTAAGCCAATGTTTTGAGTCTTATTCTAAAAATGTTCAAACTGATTTCGTTTTTTATTCATTCTGTTTTTAAAATCATCAATTTGTTTAATGCAAAAGCCAATGTTATTTGACTTTGTCTGTAAAATATCAGTAAAAGGGAAAATCTCCGGAAACATTTTGAGCAAAAAATTGAAATCAAAGTTTTGTTTGAGCCAATACAAGTACCCTTTAGTATCCCATGTTTCTTTATTATTCCAATCGTCTTGAAAAAAGTGTATCAGAGATTCACAGTATTAAAGCACTGTTTGCACTAAATGTCCATTGTAGTTCCATCGCGTCGGAAGAACTTTTGGAAACCTTTTTTGAACGTGAATGTCCAAAGCGCAAGTTCTTTTCGATGACTTTGAAAAGAAGGAAGCCAAATCACTAAGCTTCGAAAAGAAAACTAAGCAATGTTTAATATTATCCATGCTTCGCGATAAAACCAAATTAAGTCTATGTTCTATACAGTGAACGAAAATTTCATGTTTAAACTTATCTTTCACTTTAGCTTGAAGGCCTCCTAAATGGCCAGCCATTACGGCAGCACCATCGTACCTCTGGGCAACAAGCTTAGAACCACATTCTAAACTTAAAATAATATCACAAACAATTTTAAAGAATGCATCTGCAGTTCGTTCAAAAATCCTAAGAATACATATCGCACAACAATGGATAATTGACTTAAGTTTGCTACATCTGTGATTTTATCAAGCGCAATTGATACGAAAGGTGCTTTTTTAATTTCACTTTTAATGTGATCCATCACAACGTCGGCAGTTTTAGTTGAGTTAATGCCGTGAATAGAAACAGGTAAGTTATATTTAGAAAGTCCTAAGCGATTCGAGCATTTTTGATAAATAAAGGAGTTTTGAGAACCTGAATCTAAAATCACACGCAGTTTCTGAAAACATCCTGAGTTGTCTATAGCTTCAAGCAGAATGGTTGAGAGTAAGATTCTATTATCAGAAGGAAAGAAAAATGAATTACTAGTAGATTGGGTAGGCGATTCATTTTGTAATACCGGAGTACTTTGAAAGTGGGAAGCATTAAAATTAAGCGCATTATCAGTTGCATCTCGGTGAAGTAGCGTATGATGTTTTAACATGTTATTGTAGAGCGACAAGATCATAGATCGTGACAATTGCTTAAACAAATAAAACATAAATGTAAACTTTTGCAAAAGAGCATCCGGTCATCGAGCAATTTATTCTTAAATTCATTACAGTAATAAAGAGGATGGTTTGCATAACATAATGCACAATTTTGCGGTTAAGAAGACGTGGTTTATTACTGACAGTTTTTCTTGGATGAGCAGAACTTACACTTGCGTTTTCATGAGCGGTACAACATGTTTCCAAAAAATTAACTAAATCCTTAAAAACTGGAACGTCTTTAGATTTATGGCGCAGTTCAAAACTTATAACTGTCGGTTTGTCTAAGCGTTTCAATAACATCATGGCAAATACAAAATCCCAATTTTCAATAGGGTATCCCATATTTTTTAGGGCTGCGATATTTTCTTTAAAAGTTTCTAATAAATGTGATAAAGCGTTTGGATTGTCAGAATTTATGCGAGGTATGTTTTCCAAGTCATTCCAATGACTTAAAGCAAGGCGTCTGTTATTAGTATATTTATCTATTAAAGTTTGATATGCGATAGGATAAATAACGTCAGTAGGTTATATGGGTTGAATTAAAGCTAATGGTGCACCTTGAAGATACGAACATTTTTCTACCAGCGAGAATGAATTGTTGTTATGAACTAAAGCATTATAAAGAGCAATAAAATGAGTAAAGGATTTTATATTACCGGCAAATTTATGTAATTCTAACTTTGGCAGCTTTACGTTGGATTTGGCAGAGTCGTGTTGAATAGTTGTATTTAACGATGAAGTCTTGTCATCAAAAAGATCAGTATGTATCGCGCGAATTTCAAAATACGCGGTTTCAAAAGTTTCCCTAATCTTTTCTTCAAAATTTATGTCCCCGGGATCTCCAGTAAAGAGTACATTACAAACGACATTGCCATGATATTTGTTGAAATCCTCACGAATCATTTCAATTTGAGTGTATCTAACTTTAAATATGGTACGTTTATCTTTATTTGCTTCAGCAACAGTAGCGGCAGCATTTAACTCGGTTAACTGATTAATAACTGTTCGTCTTAAGGTACCATTTCGGTAGGCGCGACAGACGACCGCCGACGCGACATACGACCGCCGACGCGACCGAGAAGTGTCGCTTCACGTCTAAAATACATACAATTATAGGAAACACATTTCGCACGGTGAAACTTCTGAATCTGCCTCGAGGCAAAGGTTTGCTGCGTGTCGCACTTGGGGTCACTGTCCTCGAGTATCGGTTCATTTTGAGGGTGATAAGGATGGAAAACACTGGATCTACGTAAAAAAGGTAGGTCTGGCAACGCTGATCGTTCCCTCGAATGGTTATTTGCAAGTGTCGCGCGACACTTCTTCAATCTTCCGAAATGTATGTAGCGTAACATTTATGCATCTGTCGTCCTACTGGTCTCCTGTTCCCTGACGCGGCTACCGAAATGATACCTTTAAGGACTTACATCTTTTTATTTTTTCTGCCATAATAAAATCGAGAAGAAATGCGAGAAAAATTTATCTACTAATAAATTCCGTTAAAAAAAATAGTACAAGGGCAAAGTTCAAAATAGTCAATGCTTTCTGTAGAAATGTAAATAAATCGAATAAATCGAACAATTTCCGCGAAAGACAAGTTTCAATAAAAAAAAAACAGAGATAATTGGTTTGGCTGCACGTAAACCGTTCGAAATTAAATTCAAATTAATGTGAACTCTGTAAAAAGGATCAACGTCACGCAAAAAAGTAACACTATCCTAATTTACACTTGAAGGTTTATAAAACTAATATAAAAAAACACATTAAGAGTTATTGCTCCGTTCATGAGAACTGATTTGTCGGCATATTACTCCTATTATACCCCTACCTTCAAAATTCCAAGAACGAGTCGTCGAGCCACATTTCCCCTATCATAGGAAATAGATTGGCGATTTATTTAGTTATACCGGTGAATTGAAGATTTGAACGTATTTAGTAAAATTTTGAGACTAAATAAGAAAGTTATTTATGAATTTTCCAACAAAACTAAGAAAATTAGTTAGTCAAAACATTCTTCGTTTAAGAACATCAGTTACGAAGGCAGTTTCTTATAGAAAAGAAAATAGTCTTAGCACTATTAATAACGTTTTGCTTTTAAAGAAAGACATAGATAATGCAAATTTTCACGTTTTTGGTGATCATAAAAACTGCGATATTTATTTTTGTCAGAAGCATACAGATGAAACCAAAAACGAAATAACTAATTTCAGATCTAAACCTGAATTTTTTACAAGTTTTCTACAAATTATACATGCTTTGTCAGCTCACAGGAGAAGTCTATTACATGATGTTGATAGTAATATTGTGGAACAATTTCATGCGACAGTCCCTAAGTTTGTAGGTGGCAAAATAATCAATTATTCCAGAGGGCGCTCTTACCAAAGTATCATATATTTCGAAATCAGGGAATTCAGAATAAAAAAGTTATTCTGCAAAAACCAATGAAACTGATTTAGTTTATGGAGAAAATTGGACCAAAAAGGATTTAAATCAAGATATTTATGAAGTAAAAAAACTTCAATTTTTAAACGAATTCTCTTCATCTGACGTTAAGAGAAATGTAATTCAGGAACAAACGATGTCACAGGCGGATAGCAGGGTTTGGCTTGAAATTCGTAGAAAAACGATTACGGCCTCACACTTTAAAGCAGTGTGTAATTGACGAATTACTACTTTATGTGAGCCTTTAGTCAAAAGGATTATTTACCAACTACCACTCAATGCTGCTATTTCTCATTGCCAAAAGTATGAAAAAACGGCACTTTTGCAGCTTCAAGAGCAGGAAAATATAGTGATCAGAGATTGTGGAATTTTTATTGACAAAAAATATCCATATTTAGGTACGTAACACATTTTTAATCACATCTCAACTATAACCTATTGCAAATTAGTTCATTTTAAATTAAAATAATAAAATGTCCATACGCTGCCTATCAAATGCAGGTAGAAGAGGAGATTAAATAAAAAAAAATACCCTTTTTGATTTTTAATAAAGACACCAATAATTTTGACATTAATATCCACCATCAATGGGTATTATCAAATACAAGGCCAATTACATATTACAGGACGAAAAGGATGTATTTTTGGTGTATGGACAGGTCCCATTTATCCACTTAAAATGAAATATATAATAAAAGGAGACGATTTCTGGTGTAAAAATATGGAGGAGAAGTTAAAAAAGTTTTATATAAACTGTATGTTGCCAGAAATGGTAGATCCAATGCATAATCGGGGAATGTCATTCAGAGAACCTGATTACATCTTAGAAGCTATTTAAAAATTAAAAAATGAAAAACAAAAATAATTGCCTCCAAAAAGTCAAATAACATTAATAGTAAGATGTTTCTACAAAGCCGCTATTTATTCTAAAAGTATTTTCTTTAATATTTTTGATTTTAATCTAGGTACTGTTAAAACGCTATAATACCTATATTTATTTGCAGGTCTTCTGTAACTAATTTATTTGTAGAGGGTCCAATTAAGTTACCAAAAAATAATAACCGATCATTTTAAATACATTTCGTATGCCTACTTTGTAAAAAATAATATCGGGCTGTTTAGTCAAATACCCTTCTCTTCTCAAAAACAAAATTAAATTATTTTATAATTTGTGATACATTTACATCATATCTAAAAATGAAAAAAAAAATTGATATACAGGGTTCATAATCAGTGGCGGTTTGTGGTAATTTAAAATGGGTGTTCACTTTTTCCAATAATTTCATTATATGTAAGTTCGGATCAAAACTTTGTACAAGAGCCAATATCGTTGTTTTTTTATTATTTGAGTTTGTATTAAGTGTAGTTATTATTATCAACATCATACTGTTTTCAAGCACTACAACTATTAATAAATGAATATTTTAGTTAGTGTGATATTTGTTTTGTTTTTAATACGTTGAAAACCATCTATAAACATTATTAGTTAGTAAACTGACTTTTCTTCATAATTTGAGATTATTTTTAAATATATATATAATAATAATAATAATAATAATAATAATAATAATAATAATAATAATAATAATAATAATAATAATAATAATAATAATAATAATAATAATAATAATAATAATAATAATAATAATAAATGCTTTTATTGGCCAAACTAAGTACCTGATACAAAGAAAGAAAAAAAAAATATATAAATACAAATAGTTTGCCAAATGGCAGAGTTCAAAATCTCTGATAAAAATCAGAGTTTTGCTCTTCCACTCAACCAGTATTATGATAGACATACCTATACATCTTTCGATGTATAGATGTGCCCTGCATGTTCACTTAATAATTATTCAATCTAGAGCACAATATGGCTTTACGAATATGAGAGAAAAAAATATTGAAAACCCAAAACCGTAAACAACTTAACATCTTAACTTAAAAAATAAAAAAATAAAAATCAGCCAGATGAGTAAGAACCAGTAAGTAT